GGATGATCCGGATGGCCATGCAAATTCTTCTGAAAATTCTACTCAACGGACCCTGACCGTCGAAGAAAATGATGCGATATTCCTCAAGGTATTTTCCTTGATAACCATATGATTGCATATCTTTTTCTCTCTAGTATTGGTTTATGTATATGCTTATAAAGTATTATCTGAATTTTGCATTCTTCTGGTTTGGTTTCTCATCAATTGTTTTGCATTCTTCTGTTTTGGTTTATTGATATGCTTGAGTAATTCTTTTGTTTCTCNTCAANNNTTTTGCATTCTTCTNTTTTGGTTTATGAATTGCTGAGTTGCCTTATCTGAATTAGGTATTTGTGTTCAGTTGTGATCTTCTTGTTGTCAATCTTCTTGCTGTTGGTTAAGAGTCACTCTCTAATAATTCATACTCTTTTTAGAGTACCAAATCAGTATGTCTGTTGTTTTGGAATCAATAGGATAGATGCACTTGGTTGTTTTGCACAATTATGAACTATATAATTTCATGTCACTGCCTACATTTTNTGGACTAACTTACTCTGGTTTTTGGTTATTTAGTGTACTCACACTGATTCCAAGGGGAACCCATTCGGACTTGGGGCACTAACTGAGATGGTCTGCAAAGGGAAAAGGAAAGAGAGCTATGCAAGCTCTCCTGCNGACTCTCTTTCGNAAATCCATGAACAACTTGAAGCATCTCGGCTTAAAATTCTTNCACAGGAAGAGAGNATTGCTCGACGTGATGAGGAGATTCGCCGCGATCAAGCTCGACGTGATGAGGAGCATCGACGTGATCAAGCTCGTATCTCTGAGATGGAGAGGCTCNTTACATTCNTGAAGAGCTCNGATCCCCGCATCGCAGCATTCATGGGTCAACAACCAAACAACACTACAACCACCGAACCAGTCACTTCACCAACCACTGCACAACCTGCTGGACCAGTCACCACACCCGAGCAGCATGTGGACTGATTAATGTAGTGCTTTTCAAACTCTCTTTTCTGCAAAACTCTACTTTTTTTTACTATACTTATGTTTTGGTTTCAAGTACATGTACTTTCTTTTGTACTTTTGTGTTTTGATAACTATTTGAAGGTATTTTGTTATTCTTCTTAAACTTTTTCGTTTTCAATTCTAAAACAGCAATACA